ATGAAATAGAATATACATGAGTTGTTTGAAGAAAAATTTATTCATTTATTGATAAAATATGCTCAAATTGGCGACCTTCTACTCTAATACAAGCTCGGCATCTTTTAAGAAAAGACGCTTTTAGAGATCTTAAACTCAATTGTGCTATCTCAGCAGCAGCTCCATTTATTTGTTCCCCCAAATGCTATTCGTTTTGAAAAAAATCTAATGGATTCAGGTCTGGCGATCGAGCAGGCCACGTGATTGGCCCGTATCGTCCAATCCATCGGCGAGGATAAGTATCGTCTAAATGAGCTCTTACTTCAAAAATTAAATCTATTAAATACATTCTAGCGTGTCTCAGTCCTTTACCCACAAAAGCGGCTATAACTTTTTTTTTTCTATTCGAAACATTGAATGAGCAATTTTTTATGTAATGTAAAGTTATAGCTCAGTACATTTTTTTTCACCAGAGATAGTCAAAGTTGGGGAAGAAAATACCAAAAAGTTAAAAATCGCAATATAGTCCTAATTTTATAATGGTTCCTTAATATATTTTAACTACGTTGCATTTGAGTATGGAGAAGCAACTATGTGAAAGTATTTTACATAAAAAATTTACTAAGTATAGCCTTTTTTGTAGATGCAGTTAAAAGGCACGATTTTTCTTAAATTAAAAAAAATTTTACTATTTCAAAAACGGTGACACTTTTACCTGAAAATTTTTTGTTAATCAGAGAGCTCACCACCACACCTGCCTTCTCCTCAAATTTGGCAGGTTACTTCTGAGACACCCTGTATACGTTTTATCGGTCCACTTGCAAAATATTTGCATTCGCAAAAGTTCCGCATTGATTATTGCGAATGCGAAAGCGAATGTTAAAATTAATGCGGAAGCTCCGCGGTTGCGAATGCGAATGCGAATATTCGCAACAACCCTGGTACATATATACGCTTGTATGTAAAATAAAATCTAAAATCTACTACGATAAAATTCGTTTTGCTTCGGTTGATTTTTAAATTCACTGCGGTTTACGAATTCCTTCGTCCGAATCTTGGTCGGTACACATTTACATCTGCGTGTGTGGCCGGAAGGAGAGAGCAAGTATGCAGATTTTTTCATGTTAGCTGAGCTGACGATCCATAAAAACATTCGAGAAATGTAAATTACCTACTATTCGAGTACTTTTCCCGCAATATTCAGTGCCTATGTAGTGCAGTTTATTCTCGATACGAAAATGTTTATTTACACATACGTACATACATATGAATGTATATAAAAGTATTATTTCAAATAAAAGATATATTATGACTGAATTAAAGTGTATAAAAATTTAAAATCGTAATTAGTGGGTCACTTTTTATTTTGGTTTTGGGAAATACAACAATACTTATATTTTAGGCAGATCACAAACGTCGTATAGATGCATATTTAATTTTAGCGAAAAAAAATAGTAATGTTTTGATTTTTTCCAAGTTTTAGTGCTTTTAGGAAAGCTGATAGCCGTGGGGTCCCACATTCGGAATACTCACACATACTTGTTCTCTCATTCTGATCACGCATACAGATGCAATTCGCTCAAATTTTCTGTTCCCCCCGGGCATAATTCCCTAACCTCATTTAGCATCCGGTTAGCACATTTGCCCGCGGTTTGCACATTTGGGCATTTCGCCCGATGGTATTGCAGTTCCACCATTAGCATGATGCAATAAAACAAGGTGTTGGACGTTGTGATAGCTTGATTTATTGTTGCCTTTGCTCAGTGGAATAAGAAGAAAAAACGGGAAGAAATTAATCCGCGTTTGGGGGGGGAATATAAAATTTCACATTTTCTTCTAAACAAAATTTTCTTTTTATAGTATATTCGTCATTAAATTAAATAAAATAAGATAAAATACTTTTTTGAGAAAGCAAAATGTGTATACTGAGAAACAATAAAAAAACATTCAACTATATTTTTAAAGAAGTAACACTGTTTCAGCCAAGTCAGTCAATATGGCGGAATTAGAGCGAGAAGCTGCCAAAATCGAACACCTTGTATTATTGCATCATGCACCATTAGCAGCATTAACAGTGCCACCATAAGCAGCAGTAGCATTAACAGATTCGACGAATGTGAGCCCGAAGGTGGTAACATAGAGGGCATCGCACCATCGGATGTTTCTTCAAGACCATAAGCAATCCGCTACGCTGGGGATAGAGCGGAGATATAATGACCCTATGACGATTTACGCATTGGACAGGAACAGTTACAGTTAGCAGTCACACGATTATTATTACATTTATTGTACATAGCACCGCAAGAATTAACAGCACTGTTAACATTAGCGTTGACATTAGCCGAAACCTCATTTCCTCCATTACACTTACCATTGTTGTAGTCTATCTCAATTTTCTAAAAAGCAATAAACTCCTTTTAAGATCAGCAATTTGCAAAGATAGATCTTTAAATTTTTGATCAAAGGCATTAGTCTCAATCCCACCAGTACAGTCATAGGCTTTGCAAAGTTTTTCGGTTAACCTGATGCAACCCTCACACATATAGCCAATATGGCGGTTGGAATTGAACAAATTCACATCATATTCCGAGATTGGGCCAACACAGCAGCCGCGATGAAAAGTTTTCTTACCGATCCCAAAACATGGTACAATATAAATATAACTTCTCGAAAACCTCTTTCCACATTTTCCGCATGAATCAACCATGGTGCGAAATTAAAGAAAACAAAAAGCAGGAGCGTAATTTTCTTTCCTATTTTTCGATCCGTGAACGGATGTCACGATTCGAGCCCTGATTGGTAAAGCGAAAGTTAGTTTAGCTATAGTCTACCCTACCCTTCCTCAACCTCAAGACATTAAATAAATGTATTAGTAAATTTAAGCGTTATCAGTGGTCGTCATCAAAGAGTGGGCCCCCACGAGGCAAAATTAAGGGGTTTCTACGTGGCAGGTCCCAAACCCAGCCCACAACTAGTTTGACCAGATGATCTTAAAAAAATTGGCTTTACTTTCGCTTTAAACATCGCATTCGACTTTAAGATGCTTTTTTCTGATTTCTTATAGCGACAAGCCTTCCGTACTCCACGCAGTAAAAATTTAACTTTGCTCCTAACACACGGCGACACGAATGCTCCAGTTTTTTAAAAAACAGAAAACTTAGCTGCTTACGAATAGCAGAGCTATTCCAGGGTCTACTTATACAGCTTCCAAACGTAGGGTTTTACCTAAAAAGCCCTGTCTAAAAATGTTGATTAATAAGAGCTCCTTATTTTGCCAACTGGCGTTATGACAGAAGTCACATACGGGGGTGGTCCCAAAAGTACCCGGCCTAACATAGAGATGGCGGTAGTTGTTTGAAAAATATCACTGTGTTAAAAAGTACACAATCTATAAAGCATATCGTCGTTTAAAGTACAAAACCGCGTATCGTAATTCTGCAAAACCGCGTAATTGACATTGGCTGCCAAAAATTGGATTTGCTCACACAAGCTCTTGGCTCAATCCTTATCCATTCGTACTGAAATATACTAGCCAGAAATGCGATTGCTTTATAAAAAAAGACGACCATTTTGAAATATGGGTGTTTTTATGCCCTAGAAAATAATTTCTACAACTTCACATACGCGGGTTTGCATTTTGCTGATACGCGGTTTTGCATTTTGTTGGTACGGGGTTTTGCACTTTAAACGACGATATGATTCAAGTTTGAAGACGCCGCGTTGTTTAGTATATGCTTGGCAGCCGTCAATAGTGAACGTTTTCAGTGAATTTGTGAAAATGGAGAAAATTGGTCATCGTTATGTGATACAATACTTTTATTTAAAAGGCCTTAGCCCATCCTATATAAAAGCTGAAATAGATTCTACTTTGGACGAGTCTGCTCCTTCGTTTACAACGGTAAAATATTGTGTATCAGAGTTTAAGCGAGGCCGTACGAGCTGCCAAGACGACCAAATGAGTTGACGACTCGAGAAATGGTGAAGAAAATCCACAAAGCGGTAATGGATGATCGTCGACTGAAAATGCGCGAGCTAGCAGATATAGTAGGCATTTCAAAAAATACGGTACCTCGCATATTATCTGAAGATTTGGAAATGAGAGAGCTGTGTCCAAGATGGGTGCCGCCTTTTACTCACACTCGACCAAAAACAGTGCCGTGAAGAGGTTTCAATTGAGCGTTTAGCGAATTAATGAACTAATGTTTGAATTGCTACCTCCTGCACCCTTTTCGCCAGATTTAGCCCTCTCAGACTGTTTTCTGTTCCCCAACTGGGGAAAGTGTATAGAGCTGAAAGGAGATTATGTTGAAAAATAAATATATTTTTTCCCAAAATTTTTGCGTTTTCTTTGTTATGTCGAGTACTTCTGGGACCACCACCGTAGTTGCATATCGTCGTTTAAAGTGCAAAACCGCGTATCAACAAAATGCAAAACCGCGTATCAGCAAAATGCAAAACCGCGTATGTGAAGTTGCAGAAATTATTTTCTAGAGCGTAAAAACACTAATTTTTCAAAATGGTTCTCCTTTTTATAAAGCAATTGAATTTCTGGCTAGTATATTTCAGGACGAATGGATAAGGATTGAGCCAAGAGCTTGTGTGAGCAAATCCAATTTTTGGCAGCCAATGTCAGTTACGCGGTTTTGCAGAATGACGAAACGCGGTTTTGTACTTTAAACGACGATATGATTTGCTGTAAGAATTTACCATTCCAATTAAATTAATCTTTCATTTTGGCTGCTCGAATTTACAAAGATTTATCAAACATTCCCGGGTAGAATAAAAGCGATAAGGATAAGTGAATAGTCACCGCAAATTTTCTAGCGTTTCTATAAATTTTATTTTTTGTTTTCTCAGGGTACTAAAAAGATGAATATTACTTATAAAATAGGTAGCCTTAAGAAAGCCACGCAGTTAGACCAAATATTCTGAAGCTAGAGAAAAAATGTAATTGCTAAATCTAGCCTCAAAAAGGCGCACAACAGAACCTGAGGGTTTGATTTATTAATATTCATACTTACCATCAATTTTTTTCCTGGCCTTTCAGTAGTATCATAGTTCGAAATAGAGCATTCTCCAACAATCTCATCTGCATGTGGTGCAACTTTTAGAGTAAGATTTTCTTTAGCCCGAGATACTTCAATTTGCAAAGCTTCTGGAGTATTAACTCGATTTCCATTAATCTCTAGTATCACGTCGCCCGGGTGCAAGAGGCCTTGTTTCTCAATAATTCCGCCCGAAAGAATACGCGCAACTACCAATAGCTTTTGCGGATTAACTTCAACGGTAAATCCTAAAGGTTTGTTTTCAACACGTCGAAGCCCAACTATTCGCATTGCTTCCACTGGCATTTTACCAGAAAGTATTTCAGAAGAGAAAAGGTAATAGTTTTTAGGATACGAAAGAAGATCAAATTTTTCTACAGATTTCTCAAAATGGTTATGGTGACAATCATATATTAGTCCTATTTCATCGTGAGCACCTAGTAACGCCTAGAATTAAACGAAAATTAATTATATGAGCATTATTTTTATTATAGGTTTTATTTAAAAACTATCCTGATAGTTACTGAACAAAAAAAAATGTTCGGCATGAACATATATAAGTCCAACTTTTCAAAACCGATTTAAAGTATAAGTCGATTTTATTTGCTATTTTATTACCTTAATGCGAAATAAATATGTATATCGCATACATGGGGCGATTCACCTCAAATGTCACAAGCGCGCTGAGCGGTGCAAAAAAACTACTTTTACACTACTTTAAGAAAATGTTCTGACCTATAGCACTTGACTGTAATTTTTTATATAAAATTTACCCCTGAATCCGAAAATAAAATCAAATGTTATGAAAGTAGACCGGAAAATGTGATTACAATTTCGAAGTTCTTTTTATGATATTAAAGGAAACTTAATATCCCATTAACAATGTGTGTAACAGTTTTCAGTCAAACTGTCGGGTTGGAGCTATTTGTGGATTTTTCGAGAAATTTGCATTATTTATTTATTAAAAAATATTTTTTGCTTCCGGTTGGACGTCAAAGTATGATCTTTTAGGAAGAAAACAAACCCTATCCGATCCAAATTGGATTGAAAATGTAGAAGTCATAAGCGCTTAAGTAAAAATTCAGAAAATTATTTTTTTTTTTTCAATTTTATCATTAGTTACCGATATCTACATATATACAGGGTGTCCCAGAAGTAACTTGCCAAACTTGAGGAGAAGGCAGGTGAGGTGGTGAGCTCCCTGATAAGCAACAATTTTTCAGGTAAAAGTGTCACCGTTTTTGAAATATTTAAATTTTTTTGAATTAAAGAAAAATCGTGGCTTTTCATGTATTTTCTTTAACAGCATCTACAAGGCTACACTTAGTAAATTTTTTATGTAAAATACTTCCAGATAGTTGCTTCTCCATATTCAAATGCAATGTAGTAAAAATATATTAAGGAACCATTATTCCCCAACTTTGCTATCTCTGGTGAAAAACAATGTACTGAGCTTAACTTTATATTACATAAAAAAAAATTGCTCATTTAATAAAGATTTCAGAAAGGTGCCACTCTTACTGTTTCGAATAGAAGAAAAAAAGTTATAGCCGCTTTTGTGGGCAAAGGACTGAGACACGCTAGAATGTATTTACTAGATTTAAATTTAAGTTGCTCTTGTTACCGACCAATGACATGCTGAATAGTACAAAGATACATTATTACCTGCTCCTGACATTATTTTGTGTTACTTACCGGAATTAGTGAAAGTGGATTTTGTGAAATTGGACCCTTCGAGCATTGTGTTATTAATACTATGACAGAGAACACGCAGTATACGTCGCATGAATATGCGGATATTCACTTAATTTACGGTGAAGCTTGCTGTAATGCCAGAGCTGCTCAAACACTTTATGCAGAGCGATACCCCAATCGTCGGCATCCGGGCCGTGAAGTATTCGCCTGGACCCATAGAGAAATATATGAAGGTAAGTGATTTTTACACCTTTCTTATTTGAAGCAATTCTTCTTTTAACTATCATTTTTAACTTTTTTATAGTCGCATACCTGGAAGGCATGGCGGAGAGACAGGACGTCCTGCAACGGTAGATGTAAAAGTTGTGTTAGAGGAAGTGGAACTAGGTCCATCGACTTCAGGGAGAATGATGGAAAGACGGACTGGAATACCAAAAACTACAGTTCACAAAGCTTTAAAATATGATCCCTACAACATTCAACGTATTCAGGCTCTACAAGAAAGAGATTACCTGTCGAGGGTTAGATTTTGCCGTGAAATGTTTCGAATGCATGAATCAGACCCCAACTTTTTTAATAAAATAATTTGGAGCGATGAATCAACATGCAATCGTGATGGTTATTTTAAGTTACATAACCTTCACAGTTGGCAGATAGACAATCCTCACGAATGATAGAAGACCGTTCGCAGTAACGGTACAAAATAAATTGATGGTGCGCTAATTTTAATTGTCAGATATTGGGACCTGTGGAACTGCCGCCAACGGTCAACTCGCACAGTTATTTAGAGTTCCTTCAGGAACGGCTGCCAACTCTTTTAGAAGATGCACCCTTAAACCTGCGGCGAAGACTACAAACGGGAACAAATAAATGGAGTTGCTGCTAAGATAGCCCAATTGAGTTTAAGATCTCTTAAAGCGTCTTTTCTTAAAAGGTGCCGAGCTTGTATTAGAGTAGAAGGTCGCCAATTTGAGCATATTTTATCAATAAATGAATAAATTTTTCTTCAAACAACTCATGTATATTATATTTCAAGTGAACCCATCCTTCACAAAAAAGTCCAAATTCCAGTAAGTAACATAAAATAATGTCAGGAGCAGGTAATAATGTACCTTTGCACTATTTAGCATGTCATTGGTCGGTAACAAGAGCAACTTAAATTTAAATCTATTAAATACATTCTAGCAAAATATCAAAAAGTTAAAAATCCCAAAATAGTCCTAATTTTATAATGGTTCCTTAAAATATGTTTACTACATTGCATTTGAATATCGAGAAGCAACTATCTGGAAGTATTTTACATAAAAAATTTACTAAGTATAGCCTTGTTTGTACATGCAGTTAAAGAAAATACATGAAAATGCACGATTTTTCTTTAATTCCAACAAATTTAAATATTTCCAAAACGGTGACACCTTTACCTGAAAGATGTTTGCTTATCAGGGAGCACACCACCCCACCTGCCTTCTCCTCAAGTTTGGCAGGTTACTTCTGGGACACCCTGTATATAAAAATGGTGTGAAAAATGTATAGTAATTCATCAATTGAGAAAGGTTGGGCCGATTTGGCAAACATTTTTTCTTAGTTGTTCGTGATTGCCAGGAGAAGGTTTTTACGAAAGAAAATTTTCGGAAAACCCTCCGGGAAAGTCGGGAAATTGGACAAATCGAAAATTGATTTTTGAAGTGAAACTTCAAACACGAGTTCGGAGATGGTTGCGTTAAATATTTAACACCAGTCATAAAATCTGTATCGTTCGTTCGATTTTCAAAAATGAGGTGTCACATGAAAGGCCTCGTCCTTCGGGTTTACAACATAGCTTTAGTTCCATGAAAGGAGTTGCCACATGTTAGATCGAATTCAAAACTTCTCTGCCGCAGAGGGTTGTGTTAAATATTTAACGCCAGGTCATAAAATCTGTATCGTTCGTTCGATTTTCAAAAATGAGATGTCACATGAAAGGCCTCGTCCTTCGGGTGTGCAACATAGCTTTAGTTCCATGAAAGGAGTTGCCACATGTTAGAAAATCGAATTCAAAATTTCTCTGCCGCAGAGGGTTGCCTTAAATTTTTAACACCCGTGTCATAAAATCTGTATCGTTCGCTCGATTTTAAAAGATAAGGTGTCATAATTTTAGTTTTTAAAGGGGTGCCATATATATGAAAATCAAATTCAAATTATTTATTAAAATAAATAAAATGTCCCTATATGGGTATCAAAAGAAATGGTTTTGAATAAAGATGAAGGTGAAGATGAAAATGAAGATGAAGATGAATATGACGATGAATATGAAGATGAAGATGAAGATGAAGATAAAGATGAAGATGAAGATGAAGATGAAGATGAAGATGAAGATGAAGAT